TTCTAATGTTCTCATGCTTCTGGCTCCAGGAGATGCAAGATAAAAATGACCTCATCTGATAGCCCAAGCACTTTTTAGAGAATTGCCCTTCTTACCAGGCAGATTTCAGGCAAAAGATTTGCCTAATGAAGGTATATGGGATTATTAATCATAGTTTTTTTATCTATTGTGAAATTCATAAACAATTTTGACTCCTTACTGTGACTCAATGAGGTTCAAGTATCTCTTTATATTTTAATATATTATTTTAAAATTGGTAGCAGACTTAAACCAATCTCCCCCCTACACACCCATACATGCATTTTGGTATGATTAAGCATGCTTAAGTACAGAATTAGTGCAAGCAATGGTATTCCCTGCAACACTCTATGGAAGGAAAAGTTAGGTTTTGAAGAAGCAAGATAGATGGAGTATTGATGCTTTTCTGGTGGTGGTGAAGATTCCTGAGAATACCGTGGACAGCCAAGAAAACAAACAAATCGATCATCAAACAAATCAACCCAGAGTTCTCACTCGAGGCACAAATGACTGGGCTCAAAATATCCTAATTCAGACAAATTATGCAAAGACCCAGCTCTCTAGAAAAGGCTCTAATGCTGGAAAAGGTAGAAGGAAAGAGAAGAAGAGGATGACCAGAAGCAAGGTGGATGGACCCAATTACAATGGCGATGGGGTGCACCGTTGGAAGACCTGAAGGACCAGATCATGGAGAAAATCTAATGATGTGGTCACTAAGAGTTGACATCAACTTGATGGCACATAATCAAACAATCAATCAAAGTACAGAACTATATAGATGCACACATCTAAGTCTTAGCAAGTAGCAGGAGCTGGCCAACCTCATCTGGGCTTAGAAGCCCAATTATATTTGATGGGAGACCACTAGAGAATTCCAGGGCTATAGGCTAGTTTGAGATTGAACAGCATCCTTGAAGAAGACAGTGGCAAAACACTTCTGCTTTGTTCCCAAGAAAATTGAATGGATGTTTCCACTCAGTCATGAGGAGCTGAAGATGCCTTTATTTTTGAGCACCAGTTGCTACAGTGATGCCTAAGGATAACTTTCTCTTTTTCATGATTATGGTGGAGAAATTAATATGCTAGTACCTGGCTGTCTACAAATTCATGTGTGCAAATGTGTAAATGGGCATCTGACAGTGTGCAGGATTTTCAACTTAGTTAGAGAATAACTAAGCTTCTCACAAATCAGTTGAACTACGGTATCCAAATACAGTACATTATGTAGATTGTTGTCTTCTGATGTCCAAAGCATAGAAAAACTGCCAGGTTACTAGCTACACTCCAGAGATGATATCCCAAAAAATCCAAGCAATTGCTATGAGGGGGAGAGTTGCAGGACCATGAAAGAATTAGTCCTCTGCTGCATTATAAGTACCTTTGAAATAATAGGATCTTAGCACGATAATACAGCTGGTTGTTCCTCTAATGCAGCATTTCTCAATCTTGGCAACTTTAAGACAGGTAGCTGGATGAAAGAAGGAGTGATGAAATAGATTGGTGGACAATGTTACATCTTTCCATTTAGAAATAAAGCCTATTATTTTCATTGGGTCTTGCTAACAGTTGTGCATGCATCAAACTGTTCAGTATATTTAATGCAGGAATTGCAAAAATACTATTGCTAAAAATGGAGCTGAACCCCTGCCATGAGATCAAAGGATTCACATAACTTTTTAATTGGTTATTTTGTAACTTGAACATTTGCTTTCTGTAAAACAAACGAAGCTCAAATTCTTTGCCCAATGATTGAACTTAAAATCAAGAAAGTTAAAACTCCCATCACCCTTTGAGAGATGTAAATTAAATAAAGAAAATCTAGAGTTCTTCCCGTAAAAATGTTTATTATCTTATCAATCAGCTGTAATGGTAGTGACATAAGAATGCTTCTGAGTCAATATATCAATCCTGAACATTTATTTTTACAGTTATCTTTCCTTATAATCTCAACAAGGCTTTCAGACATCTATTTATATCAATATTAAGATAAACAACTTGATATATTTGCATTCATAAATGAAGAATGTAGTGGGAAATATATAAGTCCATTTATTTGAATAGTGTGATCATTTACCAAATAGTTGCACAATATCGGTCTGCTTTCACATTGAGCAAAAGGAGGACAAACAACTGGCTAAATATAAATATACAGCAATGACTATATTAATTACTCAGATGTTAAACACACAACCCCAAAAGCTGTTTAAGGAAACGTTTGCTTTCTTCTAAATTTCATCCTTGGCTTTCCTTTCCCACAGCTTTCCCATTTCTGATTTATCACTTGGAAATATTTGAAGAATCTACTGTACTTCACAATGGGAAAGTTCTAGTAAGAGACTTAAGCTAAAAAATATTGAAGGAGAAGGCCCTTCTTTTTCTCACACTGCTTATCTTTGATTCCAAAAGTCATACCACCTATTATAACAAAAAATCTGGAGTATTTTGTCACATACCAGCCAACCACAGATAACCATTTGTTATCAATGAGTTGCATATCCCACATTTAGACAATATCTATCAGTTTGAACTTTTCCAGAACTACAATAAACCACTTCAGATTTGTGTCAGCTGACTTGAAAATCATTTGGGAAGTGTCACTTTATTTTAAAGGGTCAGAGATGTCACTTGGAGTTCATTACCCTTGAATGCTAAAGCCTTAAAGACATACAAGGAATAAGCCCCATGGAACCTACTGAAATTCCAAGTAAATGTTTATGTATCACTCAATTCTTATCACCAAGATCAATAGCTTCTTAATACAGATTTGATTTAGCTTGGAAGCCATCTTGCTCTAGGATCACTAGTGTGGT